GCTTTGTGCGACATCAAACAGGCCTACACCCAGTTTGGAGGTAGGGAGCAGCAGCACACAGTTAAAGCAGGCTCACAGTCGTGTCTGAGGTTTATCTGTTTACACTGCAACTCGAACAGCAGGAGCCGTTTGTCGTCTCTCTGAGCCCTGAAGTTTTTTGATCTTGCACTTGGCCGCCTTTTATCAACAGTGGTTCAAATAATTTTGATGATGTGATTCAAAATATAAATCGTTATGATTAGTTTTAATGATTTGAAAAAAGAGTTTGCATCTTTCACCGTGAACCCTTTGAATCAAAGTCACAGTTTGTATTTGTACAGGAATAACTGGAGTTTTGTAATTGTTCTTTATGCTGCATCTAAAATAGCTCAATGAAATTTGAATGATGTAAACAGGCTTGGTGACTGTTATATGAAAATATTGCCATATGGATTTCAGTGAAGCTCCAGAAATCAAAGCTAGGAACTTGTGTTTGTGTGCATGTTCTTTCAGGAAAGCGTCCGTTTGGAGTCTCCCTGCTCTACATGAGCTGGGATAAACATTACGGCTTCCAGCTCTACCAGAGTGACCCAAGTGGAAACTACGGAGGCTGGAAAGCCACCTGCATTGGAAACAACAGTGCTGTGAGTCTCACTGTGTTGTGTTTAGAGCTTGTTCTCCTACAAACCAGACTAGAATGGTTGAGTGCATACCTCCGTCAAAGCCCAACAATCCCCAAATTTCACACACATAGATATCAGCTTCCATTATTTCCCACGGAAATCTGTGAAAATGTCAGAAAATGCCCTATCTAGCAGTTTTAACAAAAGTAATACAAAGTTCCTGGATCTGCCCCCTGATCCGGAGATCCGGATCCATACTGAAATGTAATGGATTCTTTCCTTCTTTCCGTCTCGTAGTTTTTGTTCTTGCTTACAATCAAACAAACCAGCAAACAAATGTGCAGGTGTGAAAACATATCCTGTTGGTGGAGGTAAAAAAAAAATTGGAGGATGAAGGAGGCCAGGAGGTGGGGACAGGAATTTTGGTTATTCCGTTTTACAGTCTGTAGGAATTTGAAAAGACAGGACGGAAACTGATATTCCATATTTTGACACCAGGGGGCAGAGCTGCACTGAATCTCTGAACACTGTGGCCATAACAAAGACTGGACGCCCTCAATAAACAAACGTGCTGTGGCCTATTTAATGCTGAGTCGTGGGCAGCTAATTGTGTCCTGATTCATGGTGGCATCTGATAATCTCAGTGGGTTTCCACAGGGCTGCACACAAAGCATTGTGGGTAACAGAGCACCTTCCGAAAGTTGTGTAAACACCTTTGTACACAAGGCCTTACAGTAAGATGAGTACAGGCAGGTTTAGCCTCTGTGTCTCCGCTGAGGTAACACACACCAGAGCCTGACAGTGTTGTACTCCACACAGGGAGATGCCCTGGAGTTGATATGAGGTTTACACTGGTGTCCAGGCCTTTCTTCAGCTCTTCTACCATGATGTTTTGGCATTTTTGGCTGCTCTCCGAGTGATTTTTACTCTTTGTTTTCTCTGCTCACTCCCAGGCAGCCGTCTCCATGCTGAAGCAGGACTACAAGGAGGGAGAGATGAGTCTCTCCTCAGCTCTCGCCCTCGCCGTCAAAGTCCTCAATAAGACTATGGATGTCAGCAAACTGTCTGCAGAGAAAGGTGCAGATCTGGGTCATTAGATATACAGATGTTTATTTGGTCCTTTCAGAAATTCATCATGTGCCGTACCTCCTCTAAAACGTTTATATCACGATACAGATTCCTGACAGTGAGTGTGTGTGTGTGTGTGTGTGTGTGTGTGTGTGTGTGTGTGTGTGTGTTGTTTCAGTGGAGATCGCCACCCTGACCCGCGAAAACGGCAAAACCTGCATCAAGGTGCTGAAGCAGAAGGAGGTGGAGGAGCTGATCAAGAAGCACGAGGTGGAGGAGGCCAAAGCTGAGAAAGACAAGAAAGAGAAGGAACAGAAAGAGAAGTAGTGACGCCCTGTGATGGAACGATTGTGAGCTTGTGTCTGTAAAATAAAAGTTTTCAGATGTGTCGGCATGTTTTGTTTAAAAAAATAAATTAGAATAATAAAAAAATGACTTTTTGCTTTTTTCAAATATAACTATGAATTGTGTTTATTGCTTCACATATAACTACATGACACATGTTGTATATTGTAGTTTTTTGTGCATAAAATGAATTACCTCTCAATGTAAAACCACCTATACAACTAAAATGGGTTTAGCAGGGGCTCAGGAGTTGGTCGGTGTTCGATCCCCGGCTCCTCCAGTCTGTTCTCTGAAGTGTCCTTGGAGAAGATACTGAACCTGATGGCTGTGTGGGAATGATTTGTGATAGAAAAAGCGCTGCCTATAGAAACTCTGTGTGAGTGGGTGAAAGCGAGTGTAAAGTGCTTTGAGTGGTTGGTAAGACTAGAAAAGCTTTATACAAACAGTCACTTTACCATATACAACTAAACTGGGAGACAGTGCTGAGTAAAGAAAATCTCCATTAAAAAAACTCCTGCAGATTAAGAGTTGAAATCAATATGAGATTAGAGCTGAGTGAGTGTAGCACAGCGCAGATGGTCATGTTTCATCATGTTTGTAATGCATACTTTAAACTGTTATGAAATAGGAATTTTATATGAATCCACATTATGAAACTAAACTTTGATGCAGATAAATCCTAATAATTCCACAACTAAAACTTTGGATTGCTTTTATTTAATAATTGTTGTGTTTTATCACTGTGAATGCATTATTGAAATTCTCTTTATAAACCCAGGTTTTAAAGGTGCTATATGATTAAAGTTAGGATTTAGAATAACAACAGCTAAATGGACATCATGATGGTTTGACCAGCTACAGTGTGTGAGGACATTAATACAGTAGAACCACAGATCAGCAGATTCTCTCAGGAGCGTCTCGTCAGTGAGGATTACCTCACCGCTCGATGGGAACGGAGATGTGAGGTCATTTAAAGGCAGTTTTCTGAGAAGCAGCATGTTGTTGAGTGCAGCTGATGTGGTAACTGCTTATCAGCCTCACTCTGAGGTGCCTTTATGTAAAGTCAGTTTAAGATTAAGGCCAGGGGACTATCTGTCTTTTAGTCCCCTGGGGGGGATTAACGACACAGCATGAATGCCTGACTTTAGACTTTCAGTCCACTGTTGTGACAGTGCCTGTACTAGGGGTCGAGCGGAAATACATGATGCCCCAAGCAGCAGTTGGGCCCCTCAGATAAAATCCTTTTCAGACATCTTAAATTGTTCTTACTTTTATACTGGAAAGAACGTGTTTGATGGTTAACTTGAGAT